TTGAAGTTGAGTGTCTTTTAAAACCAAACTCATTTCCCTGTAAGAAACAGAAGGGTCAACTACTCTTTCATGTGGAAGAGATATTCTTTCTTAATCCATATATTAAAAGAGTTTTCTATGCTATTTAGCTGTTTCATAAGGAAGCAGTGTAAAAAAAAAAAACATAACCAACCATAACTCTAAGAAATAAGCATCAAAAATCACAAGGATAAGCAAATGTTTGTTGGGGAAAAAAAATTCATATTGCTAGTAAAACCACAGAACTGGGAGAACACAGAAATAATAACATTTTGGGTAAAACTGACATTTGTGCATTTGTAAGTCCTAGATTTCAGGTGCTGTTAGTGACATGTGCTAAGCAGCCTCCATGTGTTCTGAAAGAAAAAAATACATGTATGTGTGGGAGTTTTTTCACTTCTGCGATTTCACTGGTATGGCTAAAAATCAGTAATCACTTTGAATTATACAGATCCAGGAAAAACTTATAATAGAAGTCTGAATTTCAATGTCTTTTTGGATCTGTTAGATTTTAAATAAATTCTCATAAACAAAACCAAACAGTCTGCAAATACAGATAGCAGATTAGCAAGTGTCAGAACTAGCCAATTATAATCAAACTTCTGTATACAAAACGACTGACCCCCTGCTGATCAGATGACACCTAATACGTGCTTTGCAGGTGAGAAACAAACCTGACTTTCACTCCCAAGCTGCTTCAAAGGGTATGGCTTCTGTAGCAGAGCCCACATCAAAGCAGTGCACCATGGCCAAGTGCCAGGACCCTGGTTCACCACCTGCTGCTCTTGGGAGATACTTCAGCCTCGATGAGGTGAGGCTGTGCCCCACTGCCTCTGCACAGAGATACGCCTCCTCTGTACGGGCAGTTTAGCAGCCTGGCCATCTCAATTTGGGATCTCCTGCTACTTTTCTCAACTGAAGTCATAAATACAATTAATTCTTTCCCTTCTTCCTGATTCCTCATGCTGTTTCATTTCACATGCGATCCTCAGCTATACTTCCACTGCTTTACTCCTAGAGTAGGAAATACCTGCCCCTGAATTTACAATGGAAAACAACCTGATGAATATCCAGTGATTTTCTTTACAACCCCAAAAGGGAGCACACAGGCTACTTGAAGATGAAATTGATTTCTAAAAAGAGATACAAAATACCTAGGTTTTTTTGTTTTAAATTAAAATGTTTACAGAAAGGAAAACTGCAGACAGGTTCCACATAAACCAGCTTCTAGTTCAGACTAGTCATAATAATGACTGATGTTTTACTAAGTTTTGACCTTATGTTTAGAAAATTGTCTTGAAACATTTCTAACATATTTGAATGAGGTGGTTGAATATCTGCTATTTTCATGACTTCCAAGAATGCTTGCGTATTGTGGTTGCTACACAATCAAACTATTAAAAATTTCTGACCCTCATGATCAATCTGAAATGGTCTCAAAATACTTTTTATTTTTTCAAGACATAGAGGGTGATATGTTTCTGATAAAGTGCCTTTGCCTTTTACATCATTATTTCAAACATAATCAAATCCTCTTAAGCCTGAGAAAAATGTTGATCTGTTTATACAGATTTTGAAGTAAGAAATGATTTTGTGATTTTTTTCCTAAATAATTGCAGTTTTTAAAATTACTTTCAGAGTCGAAAACCTTGAAAAGCTCAGAATATATTTTTCATATATTCAAAATCTAAGTTGGCTCTTTTTTTGTAAGCTTCAATCAACTATAAAATGTTTTTCAACTCCATTTGAAAAAACACTCAAAACATTCTGCAGTGTTTCTGAATTTTCAGGGAAGTAAAATGCCTATTAGTCTTGCAGTACTTAGGTAGGCTAAAATCCAGTGACGACTAAAAATACATTACTTTAGGCAATTCATTTCCCAGTTTATATCTTGAAAAGTAAGGCCAACATTTAGCAACACTGAATATCAGTTCTTCATTTCAACCTTGCAAGAAGGCTGAGAGTTCCTTTAGCCCCATCACAAATATATATATGTGACAAGGTAGCTCTTAGACTTCCATTTGCATTTATCAAGTCAGGTTTTCACACAGACATGCAGAAGGTTATAAAAATTCAGAGTGCTCCATATATAAACTATTAACATGTAGCAATTTTAAAAGGTAAATACATCAAAAGAATGCAGTATGCATTAGTACCTTAGACAAAATTGTATACATGCTTCATGTGTGTACAACCATATATAAAGACAAAATATGCATAGGAGCACTGGTCGAACCAGGTAACTTCATTCTAAATCAGAGAAACAAAACTAAATCACTAAGTTTGGAACAGAGAAATGTTGGACTATTAGGTATGGAGCAACCTAACATGGATACACAAGTTACATGTAAAAGTTTCACTTATCTGGTATAGAGCCCCTTTCATTAATTTATTGCACTAGGGTTTATTAAATCAGCAAGGCAGACTATTTTAAAAGCATCATCATGGACTTCGTTAGTAATTCCTTGCACTGCTTGCTCAAGAAGGTCTATATCACTGGGAGGAGATATTAAAGTATGATATCAGATAAACATAAAATCATTTTTTAAAATCTAATGTGAAGACTTTGAGGAAGGATATATTTGGAGAGTAATTATTTGCTACAAAAATTATCTCTCCCTTATTCTAATTACTGTATAATATATAGGCTGTCACATGGCAAAGCCAGAGTCCTCTCTGACACGAAGGACGATGTTTACCATGGAAACTACCATAATCAAGTGATTTGAAGTAAATTGAGTAACCTGACCATAACACCATTCCATAAAATGTCAGAGATTTTGAGCTGCAGATTAAATAATCCATTTAAAATCCATTTGAAATCAGACGCTAACCTGTCCGTCATATAACCCTCAAAAATGACAGAAATACTAAACTGAACAAGAATAAACAATCTGGAAGATTGAATGAGAAAGGGCAGATATGTTTTGCTTCTTTTGTATTTCCTCATAATATATTACTTTTTTCCTGCAGTTTTACAATTATTTCTCCATTAATGAAAGTGAAGATTTTATAATGGCTTAAAAAATATATAATAATGGACAGTGCATGGGAACATTTAAGGATCAGGCTAGGCAAAAATACATCAATGCCACAAGTACATCTGAAGCTAAAACACACTGATTAAAAGATATTCAATATTTTACTTGGTGCCTTGCTTCAGTAAAACCCAGTAAAATGAGATCTGTTTTTATTTACACATTTTTCCTAATGGTTGAATATAAATATATTGCCTTATCATGCTTCTGACAGCTACATGTATTTAACACTGATACGATAAGCTTCTATCCTCGGACTACAAATCAAATACAATCTGCAAGACAAAGTGTGCCCCAAGGAACACATATGTATCTCAGTAGGAGTCAGGAAAAGGCAATGGAGACTTTCCATTTATCAGAAAACATTATTCCCAGATGTCACTGGCACATGTGTAGAGCATCACCAAAAGTTCAACAACAATGTTAAAGTCATTTTTCCACTACAAAATTTAGGTATTCTACCAGATAAGAGAATAATAGGTTAAATATGTGAAAATATATTTGATGATTTCTCTCTTGTCGTTTATTACAGAACTTCAAATATTGTTTCTTCAGGGAAACAAGACTGACAATAAAAGAGAGGTATTGGTGGTTACAAACGCTAGGAGGCAAGAAGGTGCTTTGAATCTATTCATTGTGAATGATATTATACAAAGATATTTTGCAGAACTCAACTTCTCAACCCCAAAGGCTGGAAACTTGTTATTAAACATCTAAAGCAAAAGAAAGGGAAAGAATCCTAGAGATCAGCAGTCTTCGTCAGGTTTGGGGTTGGGGTTTTTTAAGTGGAAAATATATTTTTGGACAAAATCTGTGTATCACGCTGTAGACTTGCATTACTTAACAAGCCACAAGATGTCTGTGTCACTAGCTAAAAGTTCTACATGGTCTTACTATCAGGTCTAACATGAAAAAATTGCACATGTCTGATGGAAGAAGAGACAACGGTCTGTGCTGATGAGACACATCTCGTGCAAAAAGAAGGCAGCTTCAGGTGAGGATTGAAGTAATGAAAGAGAGCAGAATTTCAGTATTACTGTTGTGAGAAAATGCCTTCTCTAAGAGAAAAACCCTTATTCTTTGAAACTCAATATATTGAATGAAAGAGAAAACTAGGGTTCAAAGGAGTCCCATGAAAATTAAGCTACACACAAATATTTCCTAAATGTAATAGAAATTATGCTTTCTGATCTCCAGCATTTTTTTGAATGTAAGAACACATAATTTGCTCTGTTTAAGCTCTGTTTAACGTGCTAAATGATAACTAGACCTAAAATGAAATTAACATCAACTCCATTTACTTAGTTCCTCACAAGCTTGTTTTGTACATTTACAAAAGTGAAATCCCACTTACTGAATTCAAATATTTTGTAACTGAAAAACAGTGTTAAAGGCTATTTTTACACCTGTGGTAAGACAGTGATGATTTTCCTTAGCTTATCCTCCATTACTCACTCTACTTACTGATGACTTTCTATTCACAATTTATTTCTATATCATGCTCTTTAACATCTAGCTGATAGAAATATTTATTTTACCTATTTAAAACATAGCAATCTATATTGCATACAAAATGGAAAGTTTTTACAGCTTTTTCCTGAACTTTCTTATTTGGAAATTTTTCACAGTAACTATGGCACATGAAGAAAACTGTGATTGTTAAGTCGGAAAGAACACAGCTTTTTTACTTTGCATCTGGCTATATCTAATTTTCTAGACAGAAAAATAGTGTCAGATAAAAGAGAAGGACATTTAAAACCAATGCCTCATGCTTATAAAAAAAAAAAAGAAAAGAAAAAGACAAAGGTGTATTTTGGATTTTCGTTTCAAATCAACTACAGCTGAAGATGTGAAATAGTCACTGGTGTTCAAAAGTACTCACCATTACTCTCATACATAGCAGTAAGATTAATAAAAAATTAACAGCATTTCCAAAACCAACATACCTGAAAGACACTGGTGTCTTAATTCTTCTGAAGAATTACTACTTCAGCTGCCTTTTTGTCTTCTGGTCTTGAATTTGTTTTGTAGCCTAGGAAAAATAAATCTCAGCTTACTTTCAAACTGAAAGCATAAGTCTAGACCCAAGGGGAAAAAAACAACCCACTTAATAGCATTGAAGTTAATTCCTCTGTAATCCTACCTCATTATCTTAAGCAAATAAATCTCTAAAAAGGATTGTCTTTTTAAGAACAAATTAGAAAACTGAATGTCATCTGTGCAGGAAGACATTCTCTTAAAATGCAATCAGCAAGGAAGCTCATAAATAGGGCACTATATAAAAATATTCCTATCAGGCAATCCTTAGCAGATTTTCAACAGATGTGTATGTAACTATGATTTCACAAATTCCTAAAATAAAATGTGTCGGCATCATTTACTGCAAACTTTCTAGAGTCTAAAAAAATATGCTCATTTAGATTCTAGAGAAAGAACAATATCATAGAGATCACATTCTTTATACATCTTCAGTGGCAAGTGCTCTAACCACGCTGCCCAAGTCAAGAAAGGCAGATGCAGAGAGTGGGAGAATGAAGACCCTAAGCCCACTGTTGCAGAGGATCAGGTTTGAGACCGTCTAAGGAACCTAAATGTGCACAAGTCCATGGGACACAATCAGATTCATTTGTGAGTCCTGGGGGAGCTGGCAGGTGGAGTTGCTAAGCCACTATCCATCATTTTTGAAAAATCATGGCAGTTAAGTGAAATCCCTGATGACTGGAAAAAGGGAAATATAGCCTCTAATTTTAAAAAAGGGAAAGCAGAACATTCGAGGAACTACAGACCAGTCAGTCTCACCTCTGTGCCAGGCTAGATCACAGAATAGATTCTCCTGGAAATTATGCTAAGGCACGTGGAAGACAAAGGGGTAATTGGTAACAGCCAATATGACTTTATAAAGGGAAAATCATACCTGACAAATTTGGTGACCTTCTGTGGTGGGGCTATGGAGTTGATAGATAGGGTCAGACCAACAGACATCATCTACCTGGACTTACACAAAGCATTTCATACTGTCCCGCACAACATCCTTGCCTCTAAATTGGAGAGACATGGACCTGACAGATGGATCACTCAGTGGATAAAGAACTGGCTGGATGGTTGCATGCAAAGAGTTGCAGTCAATGGCTCATTGTCCTCATGGAGACCAGCGATGAGTGGTGTTCCTCAGAGGTTGATATTGGGGCCAATACTGTTCAACACTTTTGTCAGCGACATGGATCAAGTGCACCCTCAACAAGTTCACTGATGACACCAAGCTGTGTGGTACAGTTCACACACTGGAGGAATGAGATGCCATCCAGAGGGACCTTGACATGCTGAGAGGTGGGCTGATGGAAACTTCATGAAGTTCAACAGAGCGAAGCACAAGGTTCTACACCTGGCTTGGGGCAATCCCAGAGACACATACAGGTTGGATGGAGAAGTGATTGAAAGCAGCTCAGTTGAGAAAGACTTGGGGGTGATGGTTGATTAAAAACTCAATCTGAGCTGGCTCAACCTGAGCAGTGTGTGCTCACAGCCCAGAAAGCCAAACCAAATCCTGGGCCGTATCAAAAGGAGCGTGGCCAGCAGGTTGCAGGAAGTGATTCTACCCCTCTCCTCTGCTCTTGTGAGACCCCATCTGGAGTATTGTGTACAGTTCTGGTGTCCCCAAATTAAGAAGGATGTGGAACTGTAGGAGCAAGTCCAGAGGAAAGCCACAAAATTGATAAGACCGGATCACCTCCCCTACAAAGATAGGCTGAGAAAGCTGGGGTTGTTCAGCTTGGAGAAGAGAAGGTTGCGTGGAGACCTCATAGCAACCTTCCAGTATCTGAAGGGGGCCTACAGGGAAGCCAGAGAGGGACTGTTTGTCAGGCACTGTAGCATAGGACAAGGAGTAATGGGTACAAATTGAAAAAGGGGAAATTTAGGTAAAATATTAGGAAGAAATTCTTTACTGTGTGAGAATGGTGAGATACTGGAACAGGTTGCCCAGGGAAGTTATGGATGCCCCAAGCTGGCAGTGTTCAAAACCAGGTTGGATAAAGGTCTTGAGAAACTTGGTCTAGTGGAAGGTGTTCCTGCCCATGGCAATGGGGGTTGGGACAAAATGATCTTTAAGGTCCCTTCCAACCCCTTATGCATTCTATGATTCCATGGTTCTATGATTCCATGTAAAATGTAGCAAGAGTAGCTATTCAATTGTCATACCTCCCACTCCTGCATGTCATCATAATTTTTATTTACTGAGAAGAATTTAAAAGAAAGTAAAAAACAAGTAAGGTTATTATGTTTTTATTTTATTTCCTTAACCATGTAAAATTCAGGAGTCATAGTCCCTAGGTGCATCGTAGCACTCATTACACATTTTTAAAAGTGCACGTGGAATGTATAAGCAGTGAAAAAGCAGCACATGCTATAAAGTGAAATCAGAGACAGACTACTGCAGTAACTATCATTGTTAGAATGTTTTAAGTTTTCTTAGAAAATTTTTACCAATTTGAAGCATGTTTTTGATATATTAGTTAGAAAAAGAAAGCATGGGTTATCAAACCCTTGGGAAAAGAAAGTCAATATTATAATAACAAAGATTTTTTTTCATTAAGAAGAGACCATTCTGTGATTCTGTGATTGTTACAACTTTATTTTTAAAATACTTCTGTCTTACTCATCCTGTAAGTTATTCCTTAGTTTAAATTACTTTGTTTATCTAGACCAACACAAATAAGTTATTTTAAATAAAAACAACACAGAACACAGCTCGCTTGAAGTGTATGCATGCATTACAAAACTAATTCAACTCAGCTTTGGAAGATGATTGTGTCGTGTGAAACCTTAGCACAATGTGGAAGAAACTAATGAAGACAGTATTCAAATGAAAGTAATAAAAGCTACACAAAGCCAAAACAGAAATGAAAAACAACTAAAAAAGATTCATCAGAGCTTCACTCATACCCACAAGCCAGCAATGCAGCTAGTTAGAAAGAAGTCAGGAAACAAATTTCTGACAATAGTTGATTCTAAGTCTTTTTACTTCGGTATTTCTCAAAACCAAAAGTATAAAAGCACACACACATATTTGGATACATGAAAGTCAATGCACACTAGAGAAACTAAAACAAGGCATCCAGCATTCATAATGTGAAGAAGTGGAATATATTATGCTATCATTTAATATTTTTTAAGAGCTAGGGGACTGTGTACTTCAGATTCACAAAATTAAAATAGTCACACTGCTCCCATTAAAGCAAAATCTTGATTTATAAATATTTATAAGTCGGAGTGGCCTTGACTTGAGGGTTTCTATTACTTTTTCAAATTATAGTATAATGGAGTCTCATGCAATTTTTCTTATTTCTTCTTTTGATAACAATTTTTTAGACTTACAAGTTTCAAGATTAACTGATGTCTCTTCATATATAGGCTATTGTCATCGAACTGCTGTAACATTTTCATGGTACATTGGAAACGAGATAATAGAGTGACAGTGGTAAAAATAACTCTTGCTTGAATTATGTATTTTTTAATCAATGTTTAGTTGAAAAGTGGCAACAAAGCAGACCCCTTCTTTCATATTTACATCTTTCTTTTTCTTATATAGACACATTAAGCAAAAGTCTTCAAAAGCATTGTTTCATGGAGCAAGAGCACACATTTCAAAGTAGTTTCTAGTCTCTCAGAGAAATCCTTACACCTTCATATTGTTATATTAGTTGGAATATTTTCGTCAGATTTATTGATGTTATGGTGTTTGCTGAGATTAAGAAAAGGCCCAGTTCTTTCAGTCGGATAAATTTTTTTCTCTTATTTTCTCCTCACTTTGGTTGATTGTTTTATGTCTGTTTTGGTATTTTAAAGGCTCCCATGAAGTCGGCATCTTTGTTGTTCATGTATTTGTTCAAAACTTTGAAAGCTGATGTTTTCTACTGTACTGTGCTTTAAGACACATCATTTAAGTACCACATGCATCTATACTAGTAAAATATTTAAAGAAATGTGTTTATTTATTTATTTGGTTATTTATTTATTCTTAATGATATCAGATTGAAAGAAAACCTTGGATTTAATCTAGTCCCTCTAGATATTTGATAACAAAGTCAGATAAAAGTAAGAACATTCAATTATTGCTATAATTGCTCGTCAGAGCATTGCACAACTTCCCCCCAAAAATTTGGTCAAATTCAGTGGAGCTTGGTTTAGAAAAATTGCATTTTCTGACACAAATATATTCTGTTGTTAAAATTCAGGATGAGTCTAACTGTTACTTACTCTCAATTCAGTCTGAGACTTCTGTCTGCAGTGACATTTTAATCTATATTACCAAAAGGACAAAACTAAATGTCTAGCACAAGGAGAAAAAACCAGACTTACTAAAAGGCAAATACACAAGAAAGAGGAATACAATTGTATTAAGCAGAAACAGAACAAAATAGAAAGCAGAGAAACAGCTTTAGATTCACCATAGCAGTACCATAAATTTTCTTCAGAGAATGATAGTGAAAGCAAAAACTGTTTTAAGCTTATTTTCCTGTCAAATGATCAAGATTGATAACATATAGCTTCCCTTGGATATATAGAAGCAAAAGCTCTGCTTTCCTTTAGACTGCCTGAAGTCTGATGATGTTCTTCACGTAAAAAGAGACATCCAAAGAAAAAGGAAGCAAACAACTTTTTTAAGCTATGACTTCGAAAATAATTTCTGAGCCCACAGAAGGTCTCACAGTATATTTTAAATTACACACTGACATACGTCTCTTCTTCATAAAGTATAACCGGGTCTTGGTCTTCTCAGTGAGGTTACAAAACGATTTTTCATTTCCCACAAATTGACTCGATGTTGAAAACAATCTGTGTCTTGAAGGAAAGGAAACTACTTGAAACAACTGAAAGCTTTATTTAGTGTATGGTGCTGACTGCAGTTGTCTGTGTATCAGGAGAGCAGAGCAGCCTGCTCCTCTGTCTTAGGAGCAAAAACAAAGAGATGGGAATACAAGAGTGTTTGCAGTAGAACATCAGAAAAATGCTTTGTTTTCTCAGCTGAGTTTT